TTTCCCCTAAATGTTCATCAGCACACCAAATAAAGAAGAGTAAATCTTCAATAACTTTGGGGGGGGGGGGATGCTTTTTAGTTATAAAAGTATTTTTATTTTTGAATTTATAAGCTCTTTTTTTAAGCAACTCTAGTTAATTACGACTTAATAGTTGTTGTCTGATTTGAACTAATTAACCTTCCAGAGCTTCCTTATTTGCAAAACAGAGCAATACCTACTTAATTTGGTAGTGAATATGTAAAATGCCTAGCACATAGCTGAAAATAAACCCATGTGAAAACTCTTCAGATGAATATAAAGCCAAGTATTCTTTTTTTTTTTTTTTAAGGGAGGTGTTTTTTTCTTTTTTTTAAATATATTTTATTGTTTTTTACAGAGAGAAGGAGAGAGGGATAGAGAGCTAGAAACGTCGATGAGAGAGAGACATTGATCAGCTGCCTCTTGCACACCCTCTACTGGGGAAGTGCCTGCAACTAAGGTACATGCCCTTGACCGGAATCAAACCTGGGACCTTTCAAGCTGCAGGCCGAAGCTCTATCCACTGAGCCAAACTGGTTTCGGCTAAAGCCAAGTATTCTTAATAGTGAGGGACACAGAGAAACAACAAAGTACATGAATTCTCTCAAATTGTGGGCAAACCTTGTGATCTGCTTACGTGCATTTGACTTGGGAAAGGATCCAGGTTTTCTTCAGATTCTCAAAGGAGTCCATGACCGCAAGAAGTTTAAAAGCCTGCGTGATAGTTGCCTTTGGCTTTATTTTCTCTGTCCCCAGACTCATAAAGTTTACAAAATTTGACTGAAAACTCTAGAAATAAGCTAAACTTAGTTATTCAAAGCAACAACCACAAAAAGTTCAATTAAAATCATGGTCATGGTAAGATATGTATTCTTTTATTTCTCTCTTAAAAATAAACTTCTCTGTGCAGCTGCACCAAAGCAACAACTGTGGCAATTCATCTGCCACCCAGAGGAATGTGTGAGAAGGACTCAAAATCCAGGGTGTTGTAGCCCTCCAAAAGATATGTTTACCCCAAACCTGTGAATATGACCTTATTCAGAAAAAAGGGTGTCTTCAGATGTAATTAAGTACCTCAAGATTAGATAATTCAGGAATTAGGATGTCCTTATAAGAGGCAGAAGAGGAGAAGACATACAGGGGAGAAGGTGATGTGAAAATGGAGGGAAAGATGGAGTGATGCAACCACCATCCATGGGATGCCTATGGCATCTTCCCCTAGAATTTTTAGTGTATGGCTTTGCTGACACCTTGATTTCAAACTTGTAGCTCCAGGAACTATAAGATAATAAAGTTCTGTTGTTCTAAGCCACACATACAAAAAAAAGAAACAAACTTAAACTCACTTGGCCAAATTATTTCCCAGCCTTGCTATAAATAAAATACCAAGTGCTAAGCAAAAGTACAGCAACACACACACAAACAGGGAAACCTTAAATTGCCAAGGATTAAAGCCCAGTGTTTGTATAATACAGGTAAAAATTGTCCCTTCTTTGGAATTAAATTTTTAAATACTTCATTCCCTCATTCTGACTCAAAGTCAGGCAGCTATTCAAACAGCTATTACCATATATGTATACACGTATTTTAATGCGCTGTGATACGCAGACTCTAAGTAACACAGAAGGCACCCTAAACTAGGAATCAGGAAGCCAGGATTATGATCCTGCTCTGTCACTGACTGACTCTCACAGCTGGCCCTCAGTATTCTAGGTTCTGTACTCCTACATAAAACATGCAATCCCAACCTGAAACATTGAGATACCTGCTATCTTAAAACTGCACCTTATTACTAAAACAGAAACTTATAAAAGAGAGGTCACCTGACAGAAAGTTTGATTCTAGGTCTAATGAGAAAATATACCTAAAGTCAGAAACCTTTGAATAACAGACTGCTCTGTCCCCACTTCGGCACTCTCAAGGCAGAAGTACTCAGAGTAGGGTTTCTGTTGGGGCCATTTAATGCGTTAGCTCAACACGAACAAGAACACCAGTCACTTCTCACTACACCATGCCTTTCCTTAGGGTGAACAGCACTTACAAGAAAGACTTAACAAAGTATAGACAGATAAAAATATTGATAGACAAACCCTTATTCACATTTCACTGAAAACTTCTTATTACAGAAAAGACAGCTTATTTTAATCCATCTTATTTCTAAGCTGCCTTTTCCAAAACAAGTATTTTTCAATGGAAGATAAAATAAATTTTAATATACCAAGATAACCCTGTGTTGAAGAGACAACCCTCTTCCCACAAAAAAAAAAAAAAAAAAAAAAGCAACTCTATGAATGTTAAGTATTTAATAAGTGGGTCAAATAGATCTCTTTGAATATATTTCTGTAAGAGCCACAAAATATACACAAAAGGCAAATTAGCATGGAAAGAGATTTTTCTGAAAGGCTGTGGTGACTAATATTTCAGGACTAGACCATGATACTTATTAAAAGAAACATGAGAGTCGACCTTCACCACAAGAACTACTACAAACAGCATTCAGACCTGAATTCGCAGTTTAGTCTCTGAGGCCTACACCATCTATTCCCATTTCCCCCATGTGGTACATTGTGTGAATCAAAGAAACCAAGCAGTAATTCATTTGTTGGAAGTCCAGATATAGAACACAATCAAGGACCACACACTCAATTTTTCAAAAAGAAGGAGCAAAAAAACACCCCAAGATAAGATCTTATTGAAAATAATGCCATAGAACCCCGCAAAGAGCATGACCGTACAGAAAAGATCAGACTGAAATTACTTATCGGTGCTGTTATCGCATGACACATCTAACACTTTCCTCCCTGTTAAAAAAAAAAAAAGGTTCACCTCCACCTAATTCACAATTTCATGCACAACTTCAGTATCAACCAAAGTTTTTCTAATGCTTTTCCTCATGAGCAAGACTTCAAGCAAAGGTTAATGAGGCCACCTGGGAAAGATCATCACTGCCAATATTTCAGATCTAATAACAGCAGGTTTTAACAAGTTAAAGTGCAAAGATTTCAGTCTCCACATTCAAATATCCTGCAGAGCATTTCAACTAATTACAAGGGACGAAAGACTTAACTGAAAACTTCCTATCTGTGCAAGTAGAATTTAGAGATTATTTCTTAATAAGTTAGTCCTGCCCTGGCCAGGTGGCTCAGCTGGTTGGAGTGTCACCCCATACACCAAAAGGTTGTGGGTTCGATTCCTGGTTGGGGCACATACCTAAGTTGTGGGTTCAATTCCCAGTTGGGGCACATAAGGGAGGCAACCAAGTGATGTTACTCTCTCACAACAATGTATCTCTCTCTCTCCCTTCCTTTCTCTGAAAATCAATAAAAAACAAAACAAAAACAAACAAACATATTCTCCAATGAGGATTAAGAACAAAAGTTAGAAGTTGGTCCTAATTCTTTTTGTGTTCCTTAAAACACAGTTTACCTATTGGAAGGGGTATAAATAAATAAAAACTTTTAGATAGCAATTTAGCATACGTATCAATAATTAAAATACACATGTACCTTTTGGCCCACCAATTACATTTTGAGGAATCTATTCCTAAGAAAATTTTTAATGCAATTTTCAAAAACAGTGATCCGCTACAGCATATGGAGTATCACATAAAAGAAAAGGCGGGGCCCACATGTACTGATGTGTAAAGAATTCCAACACACTTCATTCAGTGAAGAGAGCAAGTTGCACAACAGGTATAGTAAAAATATGCTTATGTCAAGAAAATGGGGTGTGTGTGTGTAACTGCATAGACAATGTGTGAAAGAAATCACAGTAAACAGGTTACTCTCTGAGGAAAGAGAGCAGTAAATCAACGAGTTGGGCTGGGTGAGCATGAAGGGATATTTTTTCCATTGATGTTTAGAGAGTGAAAGGAAGAGAAGAAGAGAAGAAGAGAGAGAGAGAGAGAGAAAGAAACATCAATGTAAAAGAGACACATCGACTGGCTTCTTCCCACATAAGCCCAGTGGGGGTGCAGGATCAAACCTGCAAACCAGGTACATGTCCTCGACTGGAAATTGAACCTGCAACCTTTTGATGCGCAAGCCGACATTTTAACCATTGAACCACACTAGTCAGAGCAAGTGCAAATTTAAAGACACATTTTCACTTTCTACTTCATATACATCTATATTATTTAAACATTTACATTATATATATAAAACATTTGTTCTTTATAGAAAGTAGGAACAATGCAATATCGAATTCTAGCTAAACTCTAGTAGTACTTAAAGAGAATCCTATATAATAAAAGGCTAATATGCAAATCAACTGAATGTTGGAACAACTCGTCATTATGACACACACTGACCACCAGGGAGCAGACGCTCAATACAGGAGCTGCCCCCTGGTGGTCAGTGTGCTTCCATCGGGGGAGCACCACTCAGCCAGAGGCCGGGCTCACAGGCTGGGGAGCGCAGTGGCAGTGGCAAGAACCTTTCTTGCCTCAGCAGCAGTCGGACATCCCCCAAGGGCTCCCGGATTGCAGGAGGATGTCCTGAGGGACCCCCAAGTGCGTGAATTTCATGCACTGGGCCTCTAGTGCTAAATTAATAAAAGAAGTAAAAAAGGCTGTTGGTAGTCAAGAACATCCTTTGTAGACTTTAACCTTCAAGAGAATAAAGACAAATGTGGGCAGCATCAACCAGTAGTTATAAATGAATATGACAGCGTTTTTATAAAAGAATGAGTGTCAGTCAGAGAACAGAAAGATTTGTGTCTTAGAACTTTAAGAATATAAAAAAATACTGAAATCAGAAGAGATATAATTATTCCAAATATCTCTAAGAAATAGTTTTAACAACAAATTACACTACTTTGGTACAAAATGTATTCTGGGTGGTTATGCACTTTTGATTTTAAAAACTGGCATGGAAAATGGAGGACATCTGCAATAGTGTCAACATTAAAAATTTTTAAGAAAAAGAAGAAAGAAACCTGTCATGTATAAAGCACTGAATGGTACGGGGTGTTTATCTTACCTGTACGTTTTCTTCTGTAACCTGGATTTCTGCAGTGTAAACATAATCGATTAGCATCCTCAGGGTCCAGCCATCTACCTCTTTTATTCGGACTCTCTTTGCTCGGCTCTCACTCATCTCACCTAAAACACAAAGGAGTAAGAGTGACACTACAACAAAACACTGCTTCATTGCAGGATAATTCATGGTGGCCAAGACCTGTAGACAGCTTGGATCCTTCAATAGATGACTGGAGAAGAAGATGTGGTATATATATATATATATATATATATATATATATATATATATATATATACACACACACACAATAGAATACTACTTGGTCATAAGAAAAGATGAAATATAGCCATTTGCAACAACATGGATGAACCTTGAGACAATTATGCTAAAAAAAAATCAGTCAGAAAAAGCTAAGAACCACTCATATGTAGGATATAAAACTGAAACTCACAGACACAGACAACAGTAGGGTGGTTACAGAGGGAAAGGGGTGGGGGTAAGTAAAGGGTAAAAGGGCCCAAATATATGGTAATGGAAGATGATTTGACTTTTGAGTATTGGACACACAGATCATGTACCATAGAAATGTACACTTGAAACCTACATGATCTTATTAAGCAATGTCACCCCAATAAATTTAATTTTTTAAAAAAAAGAAAAGCCTAGAGGAATCTATAATTACACAAAATCCCTTTGGAAACACAAACCCTGGGAGAAAGAAAAAATAATAGTGACATACATTTAACTGCCTGCTTTCCTGGGGATTATATCTGACAAAGCTCAGAAAGAAGTTCTTCTAAGAGCTAAAATACCTCAAAAATGTACCTGCTACTTCCCAGGGGGGAAAGCATACATCAGTATCACAGGGAAGGAGAAATAGTTAAGAGAAAAGGGTACATATGTCTATACAGCAGGAAGACAGGGGACTGGGTTGTGTCTGCTGTTATAGCCTGTTTCTCTCCCCACCCCCTTAAAGAAAAAGGATGGGGAAGGAGGATTGAGGAAAATGGAAAAATAATTCTTTCTCTGCATATGTCACCCTCCCCTATCCTACGCTCTCTGGATCTTGTGGATAGACTAGATTTGTATAATCTGGAAGCTCTTTTGTGTCCAAAGTGAAGATACTTAGGTGATTCCCATGAGGGCTTTTAGAATTAGCCACATCTAACTGATCTATATGGGAACTTTTAGAATTAGCCATGTCTGATAGACCTCTAGGGCCCCTGTGATGTGCAAACTCCTGCATGGCCTGGGTTCAGTCAAGCATAAAGCCATAGTTCTCAAGGAGTGAACTCACCCCCTGGGATTTAAGCATCTCTTAGCTTAGGCAAAAGAAGTCTGACTTTAATTTATACATGTAACTGAAAAAACAGACCTCTGCCAAGCAGTTGTTAATATTACAGTTTTTACAGTACCGCTGTAAGCTACATTTTACTAATTCATATATTCCTTATGTTATTTTTATACAAATTATCTCTCCCCAGAAAAATGTGTCTACTGTCAACTAATTCAATGCCAATCATATACTGCCTCAAAAACTTTTTAATCTTTATTTTTCACATTCATTTACAAAAACCGTTTGCCACAAATTGCATTACAAGTTTAAAAAATCCCAAGAATCAAAACACATATTCAAGAGAGTTGTAAAAGCTATTTCGATCTAATTCTAGTTGTAACATATTACCTTAGTTACTGCCCTTTGATGTGTTCAAAGAGGAAATCTTTAAACAGTACAGTTTTGTGAGATGTATTTCTGATAATGCATTTTAAAAAGATATCCAATGGTACTGTACAGAGTTCATCTTGTGTCATTTTTAACATCCCATAGTTTCTCTCTCTGATTAGTGTTTGGTTTCTGTGTTTTGATCATGCCGCACTCTGAAGTTATTAACAAGGCTATCCACACAGACACAGTCACTGACAACTTGAGGGTCATTTTTTACTCTCCCTTCTTTATTTAGCCATCCATCCCACTGTTCACCAAAACCTCAGACATATCTCAAATCCCTTCTGCCACTCTGCCACTGGGGCTCCCATCACCTCTTGCCAACCTCTCTGCAGGAACCTCCCAGTTCTTTCCTTGCCTCTAGAATGGGCCGCACAGACCTGACAGTGGCATCCAGAAGTCCTCAGCAGCTCCACACAGACATGCCAGCCCCTTCCACATCCACCCTTGCTTCACTATCCTCTCCTACTTCAAGTCTTAAAATATACCAAAAAGGAACTTTTTATACTTTTCCCCACACAGCAAGCAATAACCTACCACGCTTCTGATGAGCTTTGTCCTCCTTGTCTCCTCAAGCCCTCCTTCCCCAGGCTAATCCCCACACATTCTTTTAAGATTCGCCTTACCTATTGGTGACCTAAGGCTGGGTTAGGCTCTCACCATGAAGACACTTGAGTACTTCCTGCAAATCTATTCGTCATAATAATACCTAGTTCTCCCCACCTGGATTCTGTTTTTAAAATATGTTTTTACTTATTGCAGAGGAAAGGAAAGAGAGAAACATCAAATTAGCTGCCTCCTGCACTCACACTCCCTATTAGGGATCGAACCTGAAACCCAATCATGTGCCCTGACCAGGAATTGAACCAGCGACCTCGTGGTACATGGGGCGATACTTAACCAACTGACAACAGCGACGGGGCCTCACCTGAATTCTTGAGCTTCCAGAGAGCAGGGATGACGTCTGTATCTTATCTCTCTATCTTATAATGCTTGACATACGGTAAATACCCAATAAATACTGGTTTGATGAATGAATGACTAAAAGAATGAAAAGTAAAACAAGTGCCAATATAAGATGTGGCATCATTATTTAATATAATTAACTAGAGGCCCAATGCACAAAATCCGTGCCTGGGTAAGGTCCCTAGGCCTGGCCAGCAATCAGGACTGATCAAGTTCCCCGCCTCTGTGCCTCTCTCTTCCCTCACTCCCTCAGGTCCCCGCTGCTGCCACTGCCTCCTCTGGTTGCCTGCCATATTCCGCACTGCCCCTTCGTGGTCAGTGCATGTCATAGCAAGTGATTCAACTGGTCAAACTTCTGAGGAGGCAATTTGCATACTAGCATGTTATTATAGAGAATAATACTTAAGTTAGTCTTGAATAAGGGCATTCTTGAACATACACCAAACATTCTAGGCTGAGCTAAGCACTTCCACTAGTGAACTCTGAACCATCTGTACTTTTTTTTGAGAAAAGAAATGGAAGTATTGCCCTAGCTGGTTTGGCTCAGTGGACAGAGCTTTGGCCTGTGGACTGAAGGGTCCTAGGTTCGATTCCAGCTAAGGGCACATGCAGGGGTTGTAGGCTCGATCCCCAGAAGGGGGCATGCAGGAGACAACCCATCAAAGATTCTCTCATCATTGATGTTTCTATCACTCTCTCCCTCTCAGAAATCAATAAAAATATATTTAATATACATATATAAAAATAAAATAAAAAAGAAATGAAGTCCTTCAAATTGTAAAAACTTAAGGACATATGTGTGAATAGAAACATTTACATTTTAAAGAAGTTTAATCAGGACTCCTGAAGCCCAGCACAAACTGGTAACATTATTTACCCCTTTTAAAGTTCTAAAAAGTGAATGGGTTTAAGATGGCAAACATAAAATCATTTCAATAAAAAAAAATACTATCATTCTAATTTCAGTTATTGTTTTAGCATATAAAAATATTTTTAAAAAACCCAGAAAAGTATAATACAGAAGCTTCTCATATGCTGAAACCCTAAGAAGTGAATGATAAATTTACAGCTATATTTAATAAATAATATGTATTCCATTACTCCTCAAGCTCCACTTGTCATCTAGGTTAATCATTACTGACCTTTTGATCTCTATTAGTCTTGGGTTACAAAGACACTACTGACACACGGATTTTCATTCTGGCAAGCTGACCCGAATGCCCTGCCAGCCACTCTCTGGTGGTCATGGTACATAACTCTCCAGTTCTACAACTAATCTAAGGCAAACATGGGAACTGCACTCCCCTGCCAGTTTTGATCCAGTCTGCATAACTTCTGGAAGCGGTCTCCTAGCTTCTAAAAGAGAAAATGACAATCGTCCTCCTTCCCTGTGGTGTGGAGTTCACTCTGGTAGGAATCTTGCATTCAGGAGGGGAAGCAACTTAAGGATAAAATTTTTATTGAGAACAAAGGGTGCAGACACAGCAGATACTCCTGTACAAAAGGAGTTGCAAGCTGCAGAAGCAATCATGCCTGGTGCCCAGCCTACCTTCCCATTATGACAGAACACAATTCCTTACAATGTATGGTTTAAATGGTGCACAGCCTAACTTATGCTCTTTATGTGCAATAACCTATTTCATTTCCTTCACAGCACTCAGTTATCTTTTTACATTTACTCAGTCTAACCTTTCCTCCTCTCTCTGATGAGAATCATGAGTACAGATTTGTCTATCTTGTTCATCTCTACGATCTCCGAAGCCTAGGATAATGTCTGGCACAAGAAGATGCTCAATTACTATTCTTTGATGAATGAAAACATGAATCTAGACAAATGTAACCATACATACCACTATTTATTTATTTTTTAAATATATTTTATTGATTTTTTACAGAGAGGAAGGGAGAGAGATAGAGAGTTAGAAACGTCGATGAGAGAGAAACATTGACCAGCTGCCTCTTGCACACCCCCTACTGGGGATGTGCCCGCAACCAATGTACATGCCCTTGACGGGAATCGAACCTGGGACCTTTCAGTCTGCAGACCAACGCTCTACCACTGAGCCAAACCACTATTTAAAGAACGTCACTAATCATTTAAATGATAATCTGTCTTTTCCAATTCTAATTTACCTTACCGAATCATGTTCAATATGATAAAAGGAATAATCAAGCCCTGCCCACTGGGGCTCAGTTGGTTGAGTGTCATTTCCTGCACTGAAAGGTCACCGATTTGATTTCCAGTCAGGGTGCACACAGGAAGCAATCAATCAATCTCTCTCTTTCTCACATTGATGTTTCTCTATCTCCCCCTCTCCCTTCCTCTCTAAAATCATAAAACTTTTTTTAAAGCACATAGAATGAGGGAAAATTAAAGTTTAGTATTTCCCCACTGCATTTCAGATACTTTAGACTCAAACTTGTAGGCAAGACAGTTTTTTTTTAAATTCCACATTTGTAACAAATAATTAAAAAACACAAGAACTCAACTTGACCTATTCCTTCTCAAGTAACAGTTTAACTTGGCCTTGCTGTAAACAGGTCCATATCTCACAAAGTAAAAACCTGTGACTAAATCACAGAATTACTTTTCAACTCCCTTCTCCATCCAAATACTTAGAACTAAGAGGAGTATCAGAATTATTTTCTTAGGTGCTAGAATTTGAATGGAAACTCACCTACAGTTTATGGGAGATTAAAAACAAGGGCCAAGAAAGGTCATATGCATATTCCCCATTTTCTAAGAGGGTGAGTCATGGGAAAACAAGAGTAGAGTAACGTCCTGTGCCACTGTAAACGCTTCTGATTACCCACTGAGCAAGAGAATATAAATATATGTGATGTATGACAGAGGAGAAATATGCAAAGGTCTATTTGTTGCTCTTCACTCTATTTTTTATAGTAAATTTTAACAGGGCTTCAGACCAAGAAAACTCATATTCTAGCAAATATTAAATGAATATAATATGCACATTAAACTACCAAATCTCCATATCTTCTCTACCAAATCTCTGTCAAACTGTTGACTATTCAGTGGATTCAGGAAAAAAACATACAAAGATTGCCAGATAAATAAACAATATCTCTTACTGAAGAAGCATAAAAGCCTAGACTATTGAGCAGATGAAAAGATGCTCAATATCGTTATTAGGGAAGTGCAAATTAAAATGACAGGAAATGTCATTTCATACTAATTATAATAACTACAGTTAAAAAAACACACAGAGGTTAACAAGTGTTGGCAAGGAAATTGGAGAACTGGGAACCCTGGTGTATTGTTAGTGGGAAAATAAATGGGTGCAGCACCATGAAAAACAGCATAGTAGCTTTATTGTTTTGTTTTAATATATGTTTTTTATTGTTCACAGTATTACAGATGTATCTCCTTTTGTCTTACCCCACTCCACCCAGCCCAAACCCCACCTCAGGCCTTCACTACACTATAGTCTGTGTCCATATGCTATGCATATATAAATTCTTTGTTAATCTCTTCCTGCCCCGCCCCTTCCCTTTGAAATATATCAGTCTATTGGATGCTTCAATGTTTCTGGATCTTGTTGATCAGTTTATTATATTCATTAAATTCTTCATAAAAGTGAGATCATATGACATTTGCCTTTCTCTGACTGTCTTATTTCACTTAGCTTAATGGTATCCAGTTCCCTCCATGCTATCTCAAAGGGTAAGAGATTCTTTTTTATAGCCTCACAGATTCACACTTTTTCTTACCCACTCACCTACTGATGGGCACTTGGGCTGTTTCCAGTTCTTAGCTATTGTAAATAATGAGCCTAGCAGTTTTTTAAAAAAGTTAAAAATATAAATTTACCACATAACCCAGCAATTCTACTCTTAGATATATATCCCTATAAGAAATTAAAATATCTGTCCACACCAAGAACTACACATGAATGTTCACAGCAGCATTACTCATACCGGCCAAAACCTGGAAACAACTCAAATGCCCATCAACTGGTGAATGAACAATCAAAATATGGAATATTCATAACATGGAACCTACTCAGCAATAAAAAGGAACAAATTGATGATACATACTATGATATGAATAAACTTAAAAAATTTTATGCAGGGCCAAGACCGGTTTGGCTCAGTGGATAAAGCGTCGACCTGCGGACTGAAAGGTCCCAGGTTCGATTCTGGTCAAGGGCATGTACGTTGGTTGCGAGCACATCCCCGGTGGGGGGTGTGCAGGAGGCAGCTGGTCGATGATTCTCCCTCATCGATGTTTCTAGCTCTCTATCCTTCTCCCTTCCTCTCTGTAAAAAATCAATAAAAATATATTTTAAAAAATTTTTATGTAGGGATAAAAATGTTCTAAAATATATTTATGGTGCCCTAACCGGTTTGACTCAGTGGACAGAGCATCGGCCTGCAGACTCAAGGGTCCCAGGTTCAATTCCAGTCAAAGGCAAGTACCTTGGTTGCGGGCACATCCCCAGTAGGGGGTGTGGTGCAGGAGGCATTGGATGAATGTTTCTCTCTCATCGATGTTCCTAACTATCCCTCTCCCTTCCTCTCTGTAAAAAATCAATAAAATATATCTTAAATAAATAAATAAATAAAATAAAATATATTTATGGTGATGTACCATTCATTAAATTTACTAAAAATCACTGAATTCCAACACTTTGTTGGTCAATTTTATGTAAACTATGACTCAATAAAATTGTAAAAAAAAAAAAAAATCCACACCCAATGGAGGTAAATCAGTTCATATTTTATATGTGCCAGAAATTAACATAGTATCCCTGTTTTGCATCCATCTTAGCACATAATAGTCCAAAATTTGACCAAGTATTCTCAGACAGAAATAGAACTGCAAGAAGTGCCCACCTGTAAGTAAACTGAGATACATTAGGAATAAGACTCAAATGTCTTATCAGAGCTTTTAATAATTAATAGACTCAAAGCCTCATATTCATAAATTGCATGTCAACTAAAACATGAACAGTTGAGAACCACTGGACAAAAAAAATTTTTTTAAATAAGGGAAACTGAAGTGTAGTTAAATTATAAAGGAAAAAGAAGAAAGATAAAGACATAAGAATGCCATCTCCAGCATCCATGTCTCTGCATATCTAAGGCTGAGAAAGTGTTGCCTTTTAAGAGGAAAGGAAACTACCTTAATCTTGTAGTTTTAAGTTGATCATTATATTTCTGTAACTATGGAAATGACAATATTTTCAAAATTGTCTAAGACTTTCTCAATCTTCAATTCTTACAGAATATCCCATTTAGGAATTGAGAGTAAATAATATTCTATATGATAAAGAACTAAAATGCTAATTCGATCAAACAGCCAAACAACCTTCCAGACCAGACAAAGCCGGGGCTGTGAGGGGCTTCGAGGGTCAGCTGATGTAGTCGGGGATGCAAGGACAAAGTCCCTTGCATGAATTTCGTGCATTAGGCCTCTTGTTAATAATAATAGGCATGCTAATTACTACCAACATTGTCTATGTGCCAAGCAAAGTGCTATGAAATTCACATATATGATCTCATTTAATCTTTGCAAAAACCCTAAGAAGTTAGAAATTTTACTTCTTCTTAGGGTTTTTGCAAAGATTAAATGAGATCATATATGTGAAAATCATCCTGATTTTCCAGATGGGAAAATTGAAGCACAGATTGATAAAGCGATATAGTCAAGCACAGATTGATAAAGCGACTGATGACCCCAAAGGTCTGATAATTCTGACATCTGAAGAAAGGACACTTACAGAGAATAGAACTTTATTAAGGAATTTCTAAGTTAAATCAGCACATTTCAAATTGAATCCTCCTCTTATAAGCCTGGAGATTATGTTTATTAAAGTGTTCAAAAGTAACAAACAAGATGCAAATCAAGAGACTGAAGGGACCACCCCCTTCCCCAGGACATAAAAATTTGACTAATCCACTTTGTAAGTATTGCCTTTTCAAATCACTCAATAAACGCATTTCTTCAAATCACTATCCCAACCTGGCTTACAGCTGCTCAGCCATTCTTCCCACAGTCTGGATTATTTGACTCAGTTCAGGAACAGCAAGACTTTAATAGGCTGAAAAGTGAGGTGACCTCCAGACTTCTCTCTAGTCCCAAAACACTAAGCCCATTCTCTCCACATGGCCTTTTATACCCATCTTCATCTGTGTAAACCCTTTATTTCCATTACTTTTCAGGAAATGTCAGATCCTCCTTTCAATTCTGCATCACTGCTCTGGGCACACAGATCTTCCTTACACCATTACATATTTAACTGTGCACACCTCATCTCCCCAGTGACACAATAAGCTACTGAGGCAGGAAGCACTCTTACACTGTTCTGTAACCTAGTAACACTGTTAACCACAGGAATTACATAATAATTTCTAAAGCATGAATAACTGTGTGTTTGTGCTCTTTTGTAGTGCTACACTTGTACTTATAAGTACTTCATTGCACCTACCAGTACTCTAAAAATGCATGCTCATTGTTGGAACTTCATTTCTTTGTTTAAATTTTTTTGTTTAAATTTTTTTTTAAAAGAATGAAGCTAAAAACTTTAAGTGTGGCAGGCACAATTTCCCTCCCCCAGAAGAACTAAAATAATTCTATATATTTTTATAGATGTCTAAGTATACCTCCTATTTTCTAAGTTTTTCCAAATCAAAGGACATTAAGTAAACATGTCTTTGGATGAAACTAACACGAGAATCATTTGAAAATGTGTAAAATAGTGAAGGATTTTTTTGCCAAAATAATAAAACGCCAGAAGCTGTTATAAATGGCAAAAAGGTAAACTGAGTTGACATTTTAATAAATATAAATGTACAGGAAGAAAATGGAAGGTAAAGTTGTATGAGTATGTAATGTATACATACACACAGCGTGATTACAACAATGAAAGATGAGAATCTGGAACAAAGCAGGAATTCTCTTGCATTACAATGATTCACTTCATAAAAGTAAATGTTAATTAAAAAATACAAAAAGAAAAGTCCAGCTTTGCATACATTTTAAAAATACCCATAACTAAAATATTTCATACCTGTAAACATGGCGTGAAAATAAGGGCTGCAGGCGGCCAGCACCACTCTGTGAGCAGAGATTTCCATGTCTTCAGCCACAATTGTGACATCACACAGCAAATTCTGACTGTTTACAAAGCATAGAGAAAAACTTTTAATGATAACAATAATAAATGTCCTGAGCATCTAATGCAAAAATGTTACAGGAAAAGCCCACTTTCTTAAAGTTGAGACTATCTAAAAGCTACCATCCTTTAGAAAAGGATTCCTCAACAGGAAGTACATAGAAAACTCTGTGGCAAAGGCCCGACATGCCGTGGCTCTTACTCAGAATCTTGCCTTTGTTTAACAGAAAAGTATTTCCAACCTTGATTACTGATTCCACAAATTAAAGGAAATTACTGGCAGCAAACCACTGATGGACTGTACAAAGAGAGAATGTTTTAATTAAGAATAGCATCAGCAGGAAGGGGAAATGGCAGTCTGACATTAAGATAAAGACAAGATAAAACACATGAAGTACCAAAAACACACATATTCAAAAAAATAACCCTGGGTCATCACAAAAGTAAAATTAAATATAATTTCACCTGCTGCTTTAAAGGCATTTAGACATTTGAAACTCAACTTAATCAATGCAAAATATTTCATGCCTCAAGGCCCGAAAATATTTCCACATATAAAATTAAAAAGCATTTTGTTATCCTAAACCATTATTTTACCTTAAGCCATTATTCAGCCAACTTACCTCCAATTCTAAACTATCCATTTTAATTCATTCATGAGTATATGGGGTAAGCACTTTTTACATGCTATACAAACTGCTCGGTGAGATTCTCTAGCTTAATAAAAGTGTCTTTTGGGGGGGGAAAAAGAAAAGAAAGGTTGCTGATGCTTATTCCAGAACAAGCAAGAAGGCACTAACTGTAAAAGTGACTCATAGTCATGTACCAATGGCTGAAACAGGTGTGGGGAAACCAAGTCCTTTCTTGGCACCTCAATTCTCTGAGCACTGAATATATGTGTAGCATGCATAAGTCACACTTCATACTATCCTGCCTATTTCCTCTACTATTCTTCCTATTTCCTCCAAGTTTCCTGCCTGCTTCTGTAAGTTTCTAGCTTATTAGCAACATTTTCACAAGAGTTTAACCAAGTCCTGTTTGTTTTCCACTTTTCCACACTGTTTACAAACTTGTTTCTGTAGGGTTAATGGAAAAAAAAAAAAACTTTCAGAGAACATATTCGCATCCATTTTCCCTCCAGTGCAGGAGAAACTGTAAGAAACATCATGGCCCCTGGCACCAGGGATGACTGCTGTCGTGGGCCTCACGGGCGATGAGCCTACTCTGCCCTTCAGACTTAAGTATAGCTCATGGGTGGTGCTGATGTAATGGCTCACGATGCTGTATGAGACATCAGGCAGGTCCCACGTTAGAGTCATAAAAGGTGGCATAATGTCTCACGAAGCTGTCATTCCTCCACATCACTAATCTGCGATTCTTCCGTCAGCGTGGAGAACTGACGTCTACCATCTACTCTGAGAATATACAACCACTCTGCAATTTTACAAATTGCATGGGTTCACAAATAACCAGGATGAGAAAAATCAGCAGTGTTTTCAGGACGATGCTATCCAAGAGCTTTACCTGCACATATTATCCCATTCAGACCCCACCACAATCTTATGAGGTAAATATGATTGATTTTTAACCCAAAAATGTACAGCTGGGAAAGCCAAGGTTGAAGATGAATAAGTAGCCCTGGCCAGTTTGGCTCAGTGTGAACTGAAGGGTCCCAGGTTCAATTCCAGTCAAGGGCTCGTACCTTGGTTGCAGACTCCTCCCCAGTCCCAGGCCCTGGTCAGGACACGTGCAGGAGGCAACCAATCGATGTGTTTCTCTCACATCGATGTTTCTATCTTTCCTCTCTCTTCTACACTCTCTTAAAAAATCAATAAATATCCTCGGGTGAGGATTGGAAAAATAAAAAGATGAATAATCAGCCTAAAGTCTTTCTAGTGGCAATACCAGAATTCAAATTCACACAGACACGCTCCAGAGGTCTCTTTACCATTACACAAATCTATCCTAAGTTATGTGGTTTTAAGATGTGTTACAGTATGAATAAAACAGGGAATGGAAAGTATAAATTAGCCCTTGCCAGTTTGGATCAGTGGAGAGTGTCAGCCTGAAACTGAAGGGTCCCAGGTTCGATTCCAGTCAAGGGCAAGTGCAGGCTTGATCCCCCGTCCTGGCTGGCGCACATGTGGGAGGCAGCCAATTGATGTGTCTCTCTCCCTCCCCTCCACTCTCTTTGAAGATCAATAGAAGGATATCCTCAGGTGAGGATTATCATAAAAAAGACAGTATGAATTATAAATGTGTAAGTTATAAATAACACCAATTTATTATGTGACACAATATATATTAAAAACTAGTTTTAAAGTTGTATATATGGTATAGTTTATAAAGGTCCAATTTTAGGCGGTTTTTAGCACTACCTCTACAAGAATATTTAGAAAAATCAAAGTTTATTTGCTCATTCAACAAGACCTTGCAGGATCATCTCTGCTTGAGACAAGCAGAAAGGACTGAGAATCAAAGATTACAGAATAGAGTGGAAAGCACCATTGTAAAGAAGCATTGGAAATAGGGGAGCATCTAAATCAGAGTAAGGGGTAGAAAAAGCTTCCTGCAGTTACTGTCTTTAAGCTGAATTCTAAAAACAAGTCAATGTTAGCAAATGAAGAAGGAACAAGAGAACTCCAGACAGACAGAACAGAATGTGCTGTTGCATGGCGACCTGGAGCAGCAGAGCCCAATGGGGACGTGTGGAAAGGAGTGTGAAGAGGCAGAGGGTGTGAACAAAGGAGAGGAGGGGTGGGCCGGCAGGCAGTCCGCAGAGTTGCACAAGTCTCTCAAGAAGAGGGTCATCTGCATTTTCCTACTGTGGGGGGAGGTTAAATCTGGACATAACTCAAATATCAGTCACGTGCATCTCTATCCCTTTTTTCCTCATCAGTGATCTCTCCTAGTGCTCTAGCTTCAAGATGGAACTTAAGTGGAATTACATTTGAATACCTCAACATCATTTACAGCTTCAATTACAATTATTCAGCTTCAATTATATTCAGCTTCAATTACAATTATTCATTGATCCAATACTTGTAACATAACACCTGCTGGGTGTCACACAATTAGCTTATTAACTGATGTTAACTAGTAAGGTAAAAACATTCCCAACTAGTAATGTGGAGCCACACCCTGGGTGAGGTCACAGGGAGTCTAAGGGCCACACTGCAAATCAAAGACATAGTTTCAGTGTTCAATTTTTATTTTGTCTCTAGATTTTAAAACAGCACTCAAAGACAAGAAAGACCTGACCAACTTTGTAGCTTTCAGCCAGTTTGTGTCTACTGAGTCTGGCCCTTACCTCTTCCCAAATGTGAATGCTCACAAGTTGAATGACTCTGGGGTGAGATGAAAGGAGCAACAAACAAAAAGTCTGGCAATAAAAATAAGAGAAACTTGTTTCAGCAGCCCACACCCAGTCTACATGGTGAGTTTCTGAGTTTATGTTCCTCTATCTTATGTTATTACTTAAAATCTAATGAGTGAATGGACTATGGAAGGAAAAGGCTTTCAGAATAATGAAATACAGTTGCTCTTTAGCATAATTTGCATTTGCCCATTCATATCCAGTGTGGCTAACTAGGAGCCAAGCACTATGTCAGTTTACCACAATAAGCAAGATAATGTACATAATACCCTGTTTCCCTGAAAATAAGACAGTGTCTTATATTAATTTTTCCTCCCAAAGATGCTCTAGGTCTTATTTTCAGGGGATGTTTTATTTTTTCCATGAAGAATACGGTACACATTTATTGTTAAATGAAAATAAAGGAAATTTACTACCTGTATACGGTAGTTGTCAACACAAACCAGACAAACTGTGAATCCTACAGTATCAAGAATTTATTTATTCAATGACAATCATGTCATCATCTTCTGGAACATCATCATAACAATCCAATTCCTGAATTTCCTGGTGAATTTCTTGTGACTCCATTTCTTTCAGAATCAGTGGACCAAATCTCTCATGTTTAGCCTAGTGGGGGGGCTTATTTTTTGGGGGATGCCTTATATTTCACTCAGAAGGAAACCTGTAAGTAGGTCTTATTTTCGGAGGATGTCTTATTTTCTGGGAAACACGGTAGCAAGGAATTTACAGTCGAGCAGGAAAAACAGACAAGCTAACAGGTAAATTGACTATTAAATGGCGCAAGTTTGGGGTGTTTGGGAACACACAAGAGAGGCCAACTCTATGGGGGCTTTGGAAAGAAGTTGTTTCTAAGCTCAAATCTGAAGAACAGGAGTTACACAGACCTTATGTAAAACTCAGATGGCACAAAAAAATAAAAGGCGCTCCATCTCCCAAATGAAATGACATCATGAGAATGGGACCTTCCCCGGGGCGGGGGGGGGGGGGGGGGGGGACACAAAACTGCTTTGAAAATTAATAAAACATGCCTAAACATACCAAGACATTCTTTGGTTTTCTGATATAAAATGAATGCATTCTTAAGACTAGAAAAACTTATCACTGTTGTATATATATCTTCTTAAAGTAAAACGTGCCATCAGGCTCTGAGATATCAAAAATAGTTAGTCGTCACATGAAACAAGAATTTACTTTCCACTGGAAGTGGGGGTGGTGGGCAGCTGACATATCATCTGTCCGCCTTTTTTCCTTGGGTGTCAAAGGAAATCTGGAGGCACTTCCTGCCATATGGCAGGGAATTCAAGTAACAATTGAGGTGCCAGTCTGGTGAAATGCGCTCTTAGTCAGAGTGCCCTGGGACATCTTGGAAGAGCATCAGGTGTTAGGACAAAAAAAAAAGGCAAGACATAAAAAAAAATAAAAAAAAGAAAAAAAAAAGGCAAGAGTTCATTTTGCTGAAAAGCATTCCCACAGGAGAAATCCACCACCTCATCCCCTTCTCTGCCATCTCCTGAAGTACTAGACACTGGAAGGGGATGGGCAAGGAGAACCACACTTACAAATACTTGCTGAATGCACTGTTTAGTAGTGACGGCAGGATTTCCATTAAGTTATTCATGCTCACATGGGGTTGGGAAAGAGTTATACCTGGGCCTCCTGTCTACAAAACCTCCAAAAACTAGTCTATATTAATTCTTGAACTTAAACCTTACAAAATTCTGTCCTCCCACTCCCACCACCACACTTTACACCAGCTATGATTGGAAGAAGTGTGACTTTTAGTCCTCAAATTTCACTTCCATCCGACAAAAATTCACAGGACTCCCTGGCAGACAACTGTTATTCTGCCAGTTAGAGGGGCAGCCCAAGGGCAGAGTGGTGAGAACAAGGAAGCTCTTTCCCAGAAGTCAGGAAACCACTCTCAGCCACCCTTTCCTGGCAGCAGGAAGTTGATGCAAGGACAGGAAATAAGAAGTGATTTTCAGCTGTACAAGGAGTAGGCCTCTTCAGAGATTTTTTTTTTTTTTTTTTTTAAGAGTTACTCCAATGCCTAGAAGGGGTAAGAGAGAAGAGAATGGCATCAAATTAAAAAAAAAAAAAAAAAAAAAAAAAAAGGGAGGGGGGGGTGGCTAGTGAATCCCAAAGGGGGTTCATTTTTTAAGACATTAGCAGTTGATGACTTCTTTATAAAATCCTGGCTATCCACCTGGCAGCCAACACTCTCCAGCTATTCACAGGTCATTCTTTGTTCTGAAAATCAGTATCAACTACCCGCCTGGTGACACGCTAGCTCCTGAAATGGTGCAACACAAAGAACATGCAGGTACTACTTCACAGCTACATAATGAAACAAATAGGCGAATGGAAGCTACAGCTAAATAATCCTAGCAAGAGGCAAGGGCACTTGACCTGCAGGTAAGCAGGAAAAAAATCTCATGGGCTCCGGGAATGGCAGAGTCAGTGAACCTTAGATGCATCCTGTCCACTCCCCTTACTGTATAATTAAGAGGCACTCACACAACTGGTGGAAAGCCACAACTACCACATCCCAAGGAAGTGGAGAAGAAATGTGAACAGGACTATTAAAAGTCAGCCTTGCCTGGTTGGCATGGCTCAGTGGTTAAGCATCAATCTATGAACCAGGAGGTCAGTGTTTGATTCCCAGTCAAGGCACATGCCAGGTGTCAGGCTCTACACCAGGAGGCGGTGAGCAGGAGGCAGCAGATCGGTTTCTCTCTCAATGTTTCTCTCTTATGGATGTTTCTATCTCACTAACCCTCTCCCTTCCTCTCTCTCAAATCAATAAAAATATGTATATATTTTTTTATAGTCAGTCTTTCTAGACTTTTCAAAGGAAAAGAAAAGTCACCTAAAGATCTGCCTTAAAATAACCTATATTCTTACTTTTCTTGCAATTCTACTTAGGAACCACTGCATTTTGCATTCTAATAATTACTGTTGTAATGGGATTAAAATACTGAAACAGCATGGCCAAACTTGCTGGGCAATTTTTTCCCAAAGACTAAATGAAAACCTACTTATTAGAAATGTTGTCAGAGTAAGACTAGGAAGGAAGCAAATCAACCATCCAATATTCATTTTAACTTTTTCTTGTCCCTCTCTCCAATCCACTCTCTCCACCCAGAAGCCTGTGTGCAGTTTGCAAAATACAACTCTGATCATGTCACATCCCTGCTTAAAATTATTTAATGGCTTTCTCCCAGGAACTCCTGATAAAGAACAAAATGCATAAGATCCTAAAAACGCTGGCCCTCACCTTCCCACGCAGCTTCCTCTCTTGCTGTGACCTCCTGGCCAACTGTGCCCCAGCTGCTCCTGAGTCCTCCAGTGGGGCCAGCTCCCTCCCATCATAGACTTGAGCACTGCCATTCCCCAGCTAGAACACAGCTCTCTAATCTCTCTCACTCCATCTGGACTTTATTTCCTTACCTCTATTTCTTTTCAGATCTCAGCACAATTATTCCCATCTTCTCAGGGAAGCCTTCCTTCATAGCTTGTTATCTGCCTTTATATCCCTTCTTATAGCACTAACTGCCACTGGAATTATTTATATGATTCTTTGACTGATTAATAACTGCTTCGTATAGTCAACCATAAGCCCCATGAGGACAGTAACGATGTCTGTATTGGCTCACCATTGCATTCCCACCAGTAGATAAAGTTATTAACTCTTTAATTAAAGAACAAATGAACAGACAAGACAAAGCACAGAGACTTTAAAGGAAAGTTTAGGTCACTCTCTTTTTAGCCCAAACTTTTAAATATATGGGGGGGAAATGTCTTTCATAAAATACTAAGAAAACAAAAACAATACTGTACATATATGCATTAGTCTCTTAATTAAAAAAAAAAGAAAAGCTACTTATATTTCAATCCATTTTTAAAGTCACTCTTTTCATTACAGTAACTCTTAACACATCTGAGAATTACCTAAGCAATGGGTAAGTTCCTAAAATTACTACCACTACCACCAAAGACAGTTACATTCTTCTCTGTCTAAAACTTTTCTTTCCATATTCTTTGTGATAACAAGTTAGAAACCTAGACTACCACTGTCCAATAGAAATACAACACAATCACAATTTTCTAGTAATTATATTTAAAAATAAACAGTGAAACAAATTTTTTAAAAAATATATATTTTATTGATTTTTTACAGAGAGGAAGGGAGAGAGATAGAGAGCCAGAAACGTCGATGAGAGAGAAACATCGACCAGCCGCCTCCTGCACACCCCCTACTGGGGATGTGCCTGCAACCAATGTAAATGCCCTTGACCGGAATCGAACCTGGGACCTTTCAGTCCCCAGAATGACGCTCTACCGCTGAGCCAAACCAGTTTCGGCAAGTGAAACAAATTTTAATAATACTATTTAACCCAAAATATTCAATATACTACCATTTCAAAATGTAATCAACATTTTAAAACATATTAATAATTATTTACCATTCTTTCTTTTGTACTAAATCATGGAAATCCATTATGTACTTCCTGCTTACGGAACATCTCAATTCATATTGAGCCACAAGGTCAATATGGCTACCATTCACACTTCTAATCAATTATTCGCTCTCTTTCTTCCTTTAAAACACTTGCAGAAAAGGCTTTTAAAAAGCAACAATGAGGCAAGAGGAGTGTATTTACTATAAACAGCTGAAAATTAAAGGGAAGACACCCATGTTTACGTGTATGTTAATGTAATGATACCTTCTTAATTCGTTCATGACTTTAAAAGCTTTCTTCACGTGCCAAGGATTCACTGTCACTGGGCAGTGTTTTTCAGTACTATCATCTTTTGAATCGACAGGCTTCTGGTGACCCTGCTTTGTGCATCTGTAGATAAAAGAAAAGAACAAAAAAAACAGAAAAAGACCTTATTAAAGATAATTTAGTTTAGGCTTTTCAGGCTGCAACACAGATACAGGGAATGCCCCCTTCCACACTTCTTTAGAAGTCTCACAGTATAGTACATGCCAATGTAGGATTAAGAGGCAATTCAGAACATTCTAATGGTCACTATGAACTTAACAAAAAGGTGGGTAATTACCTCCCTGTCAATGATGAGCACCAAAAATTCCGTAAACATGGCTCAGCAGACCCCTCCAAATAAAATGCTAAGAAATTATCTCCTCTGTTGGATAACTTGGTAAATGATAGAGCCAAGTAAGAGGCATGTCTGACTCTCAAGCTTATTCTTTTCATTAAGTTTCCATATCATTTCCTGCATTTAGCAATGAATATTTAATTTCATGTTTAAATTTATAATTTTAAGAACACAAGGCCATATTGGTATTACTGTATAAATTATTCTTCCAAGACTTGGAAGCCAAAAAATAGCAAATAAAATCAGGGTACCCAGTAGAGGGTGACATTAACTGCTAATGGACACAAGGGAACTTTGATAAAATGACTGTACAACTTTAGAAATTTACTAAAAATCACTGAAATATACAATTATGTGGTGAATTTTATAACGTGTAAATGATATCTCAGTAAATTCACTAAGTAAAATAATCAGATTACCAAATTAAGCCTTACAAAATCTCTTTCTCTCTCTCTCTCTCTCTTTCTCCCCTCTCTCTCTCTCTCTCTCTCTGTGTGTGTGTGTGTGTGTGTATACATAAGAACAACAGGCAAACATCATTAGTTATTGTGTTTCTCTTCATGACTCTTTCCTGACACATTTCTGAAAGGCTGATTCATTTTTAAAAATACTATCTTTCACTAATTCATTCAGCAAATATTTCTTGGTGGCCCACTATGTACCAAGCACTGTACGAGGCTCTTGGAATACATCACTAAACAAAGATCCCTGTCCTCACAGAGCTTGGAGTCTACTGTGTGGCATTGGGAGAGGGGGGAGATACACATAACAAATCATGAAAGTATGAGGCTCATTAGACAATGATAAGAGCTATGGAAATAAGAAAAGGGGCAAGGTACAGAGTCAGGAGAGCATAGCGAGATGAGAACTAGGTCAGGCAGGGACAGGGGAGTGCAGATCATGTAGGGCCTCATTGGACACTGTAAGAACTTTGGCTTTTACCTTGGAGTGAAATGGGGAAGCACTGCAGAAAAGTAACAAATCCAGCTTATATTTTCAAAGGATCATTTTGGCTGCTGGTTGGGAATAGTCTATGTGGGTAGAAGATGAAAGGAGGAAAGCTATTTAAGAGAGTAATGCAGTGGGAGATGAAAGTCACTCAGAGCAGGGTACTGGCAGTGGACACAGAAGCGGTGATGAAGTGGCTCAGTTCTGATATATTTTAAAGGTAATGTCAAGATCTGTCATAAAATGAAAGATTTGTTCACATATGGCATGTCAAGAAAGTCAAAACGACTCCAAGGTTTTTGGCCTCAGCAACTGTTTATTGGATGTGGAAGGCTGTAAGTAGAACCGGGTTGCAGGTAAGAAGATGAAGAACTCAGTTTTAAACATGTTGGTTTTAAGATATCAGACCTTGAAATGAAGATGTCTAAAAGATATCAGATGGATACTGGAGCCTAGAATTAGAGAGAAAAATCTAGCTGCAGCAATGTGGACATCATTGATTACCTAGATCAGAGATTTTCAACCTTATCCATCTCATGGCACACATAAATTAACTAGAGGCCCAGTGCACAAATTCGTGCACGGGTGGGATCCCCCGGCATGGCCAGCAATCGAGGCCTATTTGGGGGGCTGGCTGGCCAGGGAGAGGAACTGTGGGAGTTTGGCTGGCTGGAGGGAGGGGCCATGGGAGCACACTTCCCAATAGGGGGCTGCCCCTGCATTGAGCATCTGCCCCCTGGTGGTCAATGCGCATCATGCAACTGGTCAACTGGTTGTTCTAGTCTTTCAGTCATAACGGTCACTTAGGCTTTTATATATAGAGAGAGATTACTAAAATTCTATAACACACCAACAATATTTTTTTTGCCAATCTGAACAAAAAGTAGATATAATTTTGATTCATTCACATGGGATGGTTTTGTTGTGTTGGGTGTTGTCATTTTTTTAATTTTTATTTGACAATGTAGCAGAAAAAGAGGCCAGTGCCCCTAACTAGTCAGGTATTGCATGTTTTTAAAATTCTTGCACCAGTTGAAAATCACTTACCTAGACCAGCGGTCGCCAACCTGTGGTCCATGGATCACCGGGTGGCAACTGCTGCTCAAATGTTTCCTTAAACCATTGGTCACTACTCTTTCGGACCTCACAAACCACCAGTGGTCCTCAGACCACCGGTTGGCGACCACCGTCTTAAATAGTACAGGAAGCCATAAAACTCAGGCACTCAAACATTCAGGTAACCTCCAACATGAACCATATGTTATACTTGTTCATTCCCACATGCCCCCAGAATCTACTCTGAGATACCTGATTATCGCAGAGCTTACCTACTAGAACGGAGCATCAGTCCTGCTTCCCCACCATGTGAGAGTTTTTAAAGAGACCTTACAAATGGCCTCATGCAAGGCATTGCACTCAGTGGATGAGCCCACAACTAGAGTGCACTCTGCTCTCTGTGGCCTCGTGTGTGCGTGTGCGTATGCGTGTGCCTGTGTGTGTGTTGAGGAATGAGTTACACCTGGCCTAAGAAAAAGAACTAGTTAAGTCTAAAAGTCAAAAAATAGCAGAACATCTAGACCTGATGAAATGGCTGAGGAAATACTTTATGGTATAAGACATATTCTCAGAATGCCACCTCCCTTCTTTCTTTCGTAGGGAAAACGGTAGAAAAAGGAGAAATGTGAAGATATATGCAACCTATACAAACTGTCTGACCATGTAACCTTGAATGTTCACATATACAACAATTTAGTAATATTTACATCAGCTTGTAGTTTGGTAATTTGGAGTTTACAGTACAGAGAAAATATAATATTGAGGATCAGCAAACTACCATAGCAAGTTTTTCAGAAAATGCTCAAAATAGAAGAAAAAGCAACTCTGCCCTAGAAAGAATATACTTAAAAGCCAAGAATGCTTATATTTATTTGAGAAATTAGAAATTAAGACTTCTAGTATTAGAGAATTAACTTTAAAACAGCTACCACACAACCAATAATGCCTACATTGGTGCTTTCTGAAAGCTATTTTCAGCTCCCACTTTCTTTATGTATTCCAGGAACTCTGCAAAGAAAAGGCTTTATTCAAATGCTTAAAGAAATAAAAAAGAGCATTAAAACTTTTTTTAGTGTTCTCTGTACTGACAGTCACTTAAAAACAGCACCCTGCTGCACAAATCTACATCTGCAACACTAAAGCCCTTTCCGCATTTTTCCAGTTCCTACGTGGTTTTGTGTTAGATGGCCTCTCATTCAGAAATAGAAATAAGCAACAGAACATTACACTTCATGTCTAAAACTACAGATATGGGAAATAAACACATACTAGGAAGCAGCTAAGTGGAAGGTAACCCTTAAGTTATACCATGTTAAGTGCAGAATTATATCTTGTCCCTGCTTCTTTTGCTCTTCTTTCTGAGAACTGTCTTCTTTAAAATATCTGGAGGAGATACTTTCTCAAGGTTTTCTGCTTTTAAGTCTTTCCCTTATTCTACATTCCATAATCAGCCTTAAAATTATCCAATGGTCTACTGTTACAAAACATACTCTAAAATAGATGAGCCTTCCAAGGGTTTGGTTTCCAGCACACTGCCATGTTTTGTTAGATAATCCTAAAGCCTTCTTTCAATGACTGACTCTTCTGCACATTCCCAGCTGTGGGCAAAGGTGGCTTCTCAGACCAGCTAACTTTCTAACTCTGGCTGAGAACACATTACTGACAACAACTGAATTCTCCAAGAAGAAGCAAATAGAGACTGGGCTGTCCCCTTTGAAGGGTCAAGACTCCACAACGAGGCAAAGGTTTAAACCTACTGCAAACATTTTGAAGGCGCTTTAAAAATTAGGTCCAATTTCTTTAACATGTGCATCATTTACTTGGGCACAGTGATGTCCAGTGGACGGGGACAGAAGAATCACAATGACCCAAGCAATTTTTTTCAAACTACACTTCACCAACCCACTTCGCATGAAGATTCAGGCAAGCCCTTTTTATAGGACTAAGAATGACAGCATCTCTAGGAGTAGGGGTGAATGGAGGCTATGCATAATTTTTTTTAAGTGATTTAATGTGCCCCACCACCTACTTAACTCCCACTCCAGGACAATCATCTCAGATTGAGAACAAACACTACAAAATATGGGTTGGTTATGTTTTTTACGCTTTCTGGCAGAAACAATGCTATAATTCATGTGAATGATGCAGCTGCAAAATGTAACAGGGGACTAGACATTTTCACATGCAGAACACAAATACTTAGCCCCTGGGTGACCACCATCTCTGCTCTCCCTTTTGCTTGTTCACCTCAAAAGCTGCAAGACTCCCCTGCCTGCAATGAGTCACCCACCATTACTCACAAATTTCTGCCCAGTTCATGTCAGCAGCTGCTGTTTTCAAAGTCAGCACCCATGCTGTAAGGCTCTGAAGTTTCTCCATTACTTTACAATATCGCTTTGGTTTTCTTTGCTGTCTTCCTAGCTCCATGGTCGGCAAACTGCGGCTCGTGAGCCACGTGCAGCTCTTTGGCCCCTTGAGTGTGGCTATTCCACAAAATACCACGACCTGGGTGAGTCTATTTTGAAGAAGTGGCGTTAGAGAAGTTTAGAAATTTTGGCTCTCAAAAGAAATTTCAATCGTTGTACTGTTGATATTTGACTCTGTTGACTAATGAATTTGCTGACCACTGTCCTAGCTAAACTTGCATTCTGATGCTGGTTATAGTATTAACATTGCTTCCTTACACAAGTCCTGAATATCAGAACTATAACTAATACTTCAACTA